CAGCTGACCATGGGCAGCAGCCTGTTCATCCACGAGAGTCTGAAGCCAGTGGATCAGTTTCTGCAGGATACTGAGGAGCTGTACCACGCAGGAGTCATCTCCATCAACTTCACAGACGCCCAAGTCGCCAGAAATCAGATCAACAGCCGTGTGAAGATGGAAACCCACGGAGAAATAGCAGATTTGGTCAGTGACCTGCAGGAAGGAACAACTCTTGCCCTGGCAAATTACATCTGCTTCCACGGTAAGGAGGGAGCCCAGCCTGAGCTGGCTCTTCTGAAATGACCCAAACAGGAGCTCAAACGCCCACTGTGTATTCTTTCCTTGACAGTGCAGCCCAGAACAGAACAAGATATTTCAGTGTAGCTTCAGAAATTTCCCAGGAAGAAACAATTTCTAATTCCCCCAAAGCAGCAAGGCAGGGAAAGGATGGCATAAGGCCAGTGAACTACCATCGTCTCTTCTCTCAGGACTTGTGAGACACTTTACTCTCGTAAGGCTCATTAGTAATCCATGCAGGGAGGGGTAAAGAACATGGAACACCTCCCTGACTAGAGAGCCAGAGGTACCAGTTGAGCGGGTTTCTGAAGGGAGCCAGAACTTTTCTCCTGGGCCAGAACTTGGATGAGTCTACTGTGGAGGAGGAGAGCAGCCAGCTTGGAGCGTGGGACCTGGGTCAGCTCTGACTCCGCCACACATGGACCTGGACAGGTGACAAGCTGGCTACTTCCTGGAGGCGCTACCTCGTTCTCTTACCATGGACAAAACAAGACACTTCTTGGCAGGATTCCAAAGGATAAAGGTTACATAGAACCTGTGGCAAAGGGTAACAGATCTACTAACCTAGACTCCCAAGCTGTCTTCCTATCTCAGAGTGTTGAATGGTCAAGATGTCACGGCCCAGGATCTAAGGCAGCTTCCATGCTCCAGGGAAAGAGCCTTAGGGAGGCCAGTCCAGGTGACGCCAAACCCCTGCTTGGCTCCCCACCTCCCTCATCTCTGGGCAGGGTCCTGCAGTGCACAGCACCCAGACTATGGTCAGCACAACCGAGGTCCCAGGTGTGTGGTGACTCTGGACAATGAGAAAGGTAGGCACAGGGGTCCCACAGTCACTGACCCACCCTGAAGGCTTGTTTGTAGAGGCATAAGGTCACAGCACAGGGCAGGTTCCCCAGGCCCATGCACTCCACACACAGGCCCTGGAGGACTAGCTCAGAAGCCAGAATGCTTGCCTGAGTCCCAACTGAACTGGCAGTCTTCCACCCTTCCTAATCCCCAGGTAGTAGCTGGTATTGTTTCCAAGTAAGTGAGTTGATCCCTTAGCATTGCAAGGAGCAAAACCCCTTACCTTTGGTGGTTTGCAACAGACAGATCAGCCCCGGGCCTGGAGAAACAATTTTTGAGAAGTTTTTGATCTTGTAAGAATAAGATGCCATCTCAACTGACAGACTGGCACACTCAGCATGGTCCCAAAGAACCATCAGCATGAACCCTTGTGAGCGGATATATAAACCCCATTTGCTCTCTGTCGGGCGTACACTACTGAGAGGTCACAGCCTGCTTGATCTGTGCCTGCCTCCTCTTGGCCCACTCCCTCTGTAAATCATGTGTGGGATTTTAAACAACCCAAACACCCAACCGCCAAGAAATGGATAAAGAAGATGTGGATTTTTCAATTCAGTGAAGTACTACTCTGCCATAAAGATAAACTTCAGGCACATAAGTAAAGGGATGCAAGCTGAGAGCAAACTCCTACGTGAATCTAATCAGACGCACACATGTAAACCTTGCATTGTCCTTCCGGTGTGAGAAACTCAAAGAGTAAATAGGGACCAAAATGTAGAAGGGATACAGTGAAATGGGAAGAAACTTTTCAGAAGAAAAGAGGAACTAGAGTATGGGAAGGGAGAAAGAGAAGAAAGAGGATTTTTTTAAAAGGAAATAAAGCTTTGTAAATATTGAAGCAAAGCGGAGTTGAAGGAAGGAGAGAGGATTGAGAAGAGAGAGAGAGAGAGAGAGAGAGAGAGAGAGAGAGAGAGAGAGAGAGTTCTATCTATGGCCAAAGCACCCTCAGTGCACTGGATCTCGTCTGATCTCAGGAGCAAAGCAGGGCCAGGCCTCCTCAGTACTTGGATGGGAGAAATCAGGGTATGTGGGAGACTGCCGCGCTGCGCACTCCCAAGAGTGAAGCCCCTTGCCTCTCTACTTCCCTAACTTCTCCTTCAACCCTATTCAGGCTGTAAAATCTGCACAGCTGGCTATGCTGAACCAGATGTTCCCTTAATTGGCTAAAAGAATGTGATTAAGTCAAGCCAAGAAGCCAACATGTCTCATTGCAGCGCGGGGGTGGTAAACGCCCCTCTCCTCCCTACTGGCTGCTGGAATGGGGCCAGAAGCAGGAGCCTGTGAGATTTCAGGGCTAAGACATGAATTATAATTATTCAATAAGAATTACACCAACTTATGCCAGGTTGGCAGCTGGCAGTGAAGGTGCCAGTCTTGCATGCATCAAACTGTCCATTACATTGATAATTAGAGAGCCTGTGTGCCTCGTACAAAACTGCTCTTCCTCATTACTTCCAATACCTGCAGTTTCTTTTCCCCAGCACTCTGCCACAAACCCCGCTCACCTCCCTGATTAACACCAATAAAAACCATGAGCTTTTGGATTCAGGGCCTTGTATTCCACAGAGCACGCTGGTCATCACAGAGCTCAACTGTGCGGTCTTCTCCCTGTGTCTTTATTTTGCATCAGTGTGCTGTACTGCTAAGTGGACGACCAGATCCCCCCACAGGGGTTTCAGGAAAACTATATCATGTGCAAGGACAAATCCTCTACAATGAATATGATCATTATGTATAACTAAAATGCACCAACCAATTTTTTAAAAGTAAAACGTTTTGAAAAGCACATGATTGGACTACGGGGCTAACTTCTTAACTGGCAATGCTTTTCCAGAGTTAGAATAGTGAATTCCGTACTTAACTATTTCCCTTCCACCCACACTTTCTTTGGAGACCTCCCTAGGGGTAGGACCTGGATCACATCCTCCAGCTAAAAAACCTCCCAAAAGAGAGCTTTGTGTGTGTGTGTGTGTGTGTGTGTGTGTGTGTGTGTGTTCTTTCTTACAGCATTGGAGAGACTCTGGACACATTCATCAGCACAGAGAGAAGAAAGCAAAGCCCCACACTCTCACCACATGCACACAGCACCAAGAGGAAACAGTCCTTACTAGCTTACCTAGGAGACATCCTAAATCCTCTGCAGTCAGGTGCACTTTACACAAAAGCCAGCAGACTTACGGTTTCACTGTGATCCCAAGTGATGTGATACAGGGGCAGCTCCAACATCAGTGTCTTAGGAGGGGTCTCGGGGCTCTGATCTCCTGACACAGTCACTGAAACCTTAACTCCTCTCCTGGTGGCTCCCCTTTTGTCCCCCAGGAAAACTGCATGAGGAACTTCTGCAAGAGCTCATTGCAGAAGCAAACTTCCAAGTGCACAAGAAGCGAGCCATCATAGTGCCCATGGTCCATCGCCTAGGGAGATTTTATGTGCAGTGGTACCCAAGACTGTCCAGCTGGGTGCTGGTCCAGCACTATGTGAGTGACACCATAGCCTTCTTCATCATGCCCAACCTGGGGAAGATGCAGCAGCTGCAGCAAAGACTCACCCGCAAGCACCTTGATGCCATCCAGAGGCACACTGCGCTTAGGTGATTCTCCAGGGCAGGGGCCATCAGGTGCTGCCCAGCCCTCTGGGCCACATCTGTACAGGGGCCCTTCAGGGCTGGCCAGAGGCTGGGAGGGTGAACCCCATCCCTTGGGTCACCATCACTTCACATCGCCTTGTGCCTCTGAGGGTCCACTTCTCCCTTCCTGTAGGCTTGGCAGGGCTGGGACCTGACAGTGCTCAGATGGGGAAGCGAAGATCCTACTATGGGACCTCCCTGCCCCGCACAGATGCTGTCCCTTCCCAACATCCCCTGCCGGGGCCAGGCACAGCTGCATCAGCTATGGGTGGAGGCTTTGGGGGTGGTGAGGAGAGGGGCTTTGAGGACCAGGCAGCACCATGGAAAGGCCACCTGAAACAATCATCAGAGATCCCCAAGGACAGCAGCATGTATATTGAAAGGTGAAAATATTGCAGAGGGATTATGCTCATCATATTAAACTGTGTGCATATTCCTGGAGATTGAGGCATGGGGAAGCTTGAAAGGCAACAAGGGAGAAATGCGCAGAAGCTACTCAGATACAGGGTGTCTTGGCCTTGGAGACTGAGGTTGCACTGGGTTCAGCTCACTCGGTAATGTTGTGGGAAGGGCACCTCATCTCTCTGGCTAGAGTTCTTGAATCTGAAGATCAACCTCATTTAAAAATCTGTGCCTATAGAGAAGCTACAAAGCCTGAGGTCCTTGCAAAACAGGAGGGAATAGCTTGAGGCCTCACGGAGTCCTGGAGCAGGTACCTCCTAGACACACAGGCGGGAGTACGCTGGTGTTTCTTCCCAGCTCCAATTCCTAGGGTCTGAAAGGACTGATGTCGTGGACACAGAGTCCAGGGAGCTGGACTGAGGGGCAGAGGCCTAGAGAGGCAAAGGGCTAGAGTCGGAACTCCCAGGGTGGCTTGCACAATGTGCTGCTAGTCATTTCTGCAGAGTGGTCCCGGAGCCAGGAGGCCCCCAGCACCATAACTGGGCTCACACCCTGCAGCATTGTTGCACAATGCTCACTGCAAAATGCACCTGCTGATGCAACAGATGTGTGGGTGAGTGGGAACTGAAGTGCGCCCCTAAGGTCCCTGCGAGTCTCAGCACAGTCTAACTGGGGCCTCCCAGTTGCACCACAGAATTCAAAGTAGAGCTAGAGCTTCCAACATGGTGAAGTGACTGCTAGCTGCTTTCTGAGCCCCCTGCTGCAGCGACCCACGGTCCCCTGGGAGTCAGGCACTATAGAGTCCCTGGCTGAGGAACGGGGCAGTAAGACCTGCCCAAACATCCCTAAGGGGTTCTCAGAGACAGTGGCCTTCCAGGTCTGCCAGGCAAGATGGTCCCCCTGGTGATAACATCCTCCATCCCAAGTATAAAGTGCAAGAAAACTCCTTCACGCCAGGGCAGCTTCCCATCCCGCTGTGGGTGACACAGAAAGGAGACACTGTCTCCCATGGTGGGTCCCAGCAGGACACGAGAAGTGCTGGGAATCTTCTCTCATTTTTCTTTGTTCTGACAGATTTGTTCATTTATTTTTTCCAAAACTATCGATTTCTGGAGCCCATGATCTGAAGAGCCTCCTGGGTACTCTGGGCATCACCAAGGTCTTCAGCAGTGCAGCTGACCTTTCTGGGGTCACAGAGGAGGCGCCCCTGAAGCTCTCCAAGGTGAGGTCACTTGACAATGGTGATGTCCAAGAGGTCCGCAGGGCGGAGTGGCATGTGGTGCACAGGGACACTGACAAGGTCTGGGCTGAGCTCCCAGTACGTGTGAGAGTCACTGGGCTGGGCCGGGGTCAAGGTCAGTGCTGGGAGGTGGATTCCTGTGCAGAATGGGCCCCACCCGAGCTGCCTGACTGACTTGGTCATCAATATTTATACAGAGAAGCGTAGGTTGATTGACTTCTAAGGATGTTCTAGAAATTTCCATGTGTGAGATTTAGGGTTACTGGTAAAGCACCAGGTCTGAATTGTGAATGAGTTCACAGTTCAGGGAATTTAAAGGGGCCAAGAGCAGGCCCAAGCCAGTGCTGTCTACATTCTCCTGGGTCTGAACTGGGGAAACTCAGCAGCATTGTCCTGGTGCTAGGAGCTCATAACGGTACCCTGGAAGAGGGAGAGGAGTGGAAAGCCATCGTGCGCTCGTGAAAATGAAGTTTGTGTTCAGGGCATGGGAGATAGAGACCAAAAAGGAGTCGAGGGAGTGAGCCAGGTCAGGCAAAGGTGGACACAGAGGATGTGGCCTTGTGTGACAGTGTATGCAGGGCACGCTGGACAGGACAGGGCCATCCAGGAGGAGAAAGGTCTGGTAGGGTGCTGGGAGAGAGCCTCACACTCAGGCCTTGCTCCAGCCTGGGTGGGTCGGCCCAGCCCCAGAGCCTGCCTCTGCCTCTCTCCCCTCCAGGCCGTGCATAGGGTGCAAGTGACCCTGGATGAGAAGACAGAAGACACTGAGGTGGATGAGGAAAACGAGACGCTCTGGCTATCCATCCCCACGATCTCTTTCAATAGGTCCTTCCTAGTTATCATAAAAGACGAATTTACCAACTTTCCCCTCCTTGTGGGAAGAGTGCGGGATCCCACACAGCACTAATGTCCTCAGACTCAGTCCCCTTCTGGTCCAGGTCTCCTCACTGAGTGACATTAAACATAGGCTGGTCAGGACACTGCATGCACCTGCGTCTCCTTTGTACTCTGGGGCTACGAGAGGACCAGGTCACAGCGTGTCTCCGGGTCCCTGCACCTCTGTGTGTTGGGTCCTGTATGGTGTACCCTGGGCTGGAAAGGGCCACTGTGCCTGAGACCTCACCCCACAGGCCCGGGGCCCCTATGCTCCCAAATTTTCAGTCCTGCCTGGCACTCACGAGGGGGCTATGTGGCTCAGATGCCAGCCTGAGGCCCCAGGATCCACTGAGTGGCCTGTCTGCCCTAGCGAACCTCCCCACGGCCCCCACTTCTTAGGCTGGAGCCCTATACATACACCTTGTGGGCCTGGCCATGCCCACCCCGCTATGCCTACTGCTACTCCCAGAGTTGCCAGCTCTGGACCTGGCACTAAGCTGCTGCGTCTGCAGCCACACACGAGGGACACCTGTGTGCCGCACACTTCTTACTCTTCACCTCACTAGGTCTGTGTTCCTCCTGAAACAGCAGCACTGGGCAGTCACTGACCTGCATCCTTGTCCCTCCATGTCTCCTCGTAGAAGCAGCCCCTTCCCCCAGTGCAGGAGGGGCCCTGATTCTTGGCCTCTAACCCCTCTCAAACTCCTCATGGCCACGAGGCCCAAGGCCATTACTCTCTCTTCCTTCTCCTTCCTGGACATGTGGCCATGGTATCATGGGGGGCTCTGTAAAGTCATGACCAAGTGCCCTAAGCTATGGAGGAGGAAGAACACCACTGCCCACTCCCCAGGGCCCTGATGCCTGCCCCTTCCTGAGCTCTGTATGGGGCCACATGTACCCCCACGGCCTCCCTGTAGTCTCCTAGGGACACTGGGGGCTGGTGACATGGCATTAGTCTATCCTGGGATGGCCTTGTGATATGGCCAGGCTGCTCCGCACTGGGCTCCAAGGCCCTGCTGAAGGGCTTCGGCAGCCAGGAGCACACTAGGGCTGGCAGGTCCCGCGCTGCCCAAGGTCTCCTGGGGATCCCTGCCCTGCCCCTCCCAGCTCATCTGAGAACCACCGTCTGCCCACTCGTGGGACACTGGGGACACACAGCACTGGGTTGGGCCATGTCGTTGTCATATTTTAGGTCAAAAATGTAGAACATGTCTGTCTTCACATGCTTCCCGAATGCAAGGAGCCCCAGGGGTTTGCTCTGTCCTGGGCAGGTGGGGGATGCAGCATGGTGGCGCTCTGCTCAGCAGGGCCACAGAGCAATGAGCTCTCACCCCAGGAAGAGCGCGGCTCTGCGGGATCGGACACAGCCAGTAGCAAGGCTGGCCTGGCGTCAGTGGCGACCCAGGCCCTTGGCCAAGCCTAAGGAAAGACCAGCAAACACTGTGACCACCCCTCCACCCCAAGTCCTGTGAGCTGAGGACTGCGCCACGCCCTGCGCTGGTTTTCACACCAAGGATTCCTTCAGTGACACATCTGCCTCTCATCTCCCTGCTGTGCCAGGACAAACCAGTCTTGGAGCTTGGACAAGGCACATTGCAGACCGCATGGAAGCCTCCCCAGGGCAGATCCATGGGAAAGACACTCAGGGATACAGCGGGTGACAATTACTAACTGCCCCCACAGAGCAGGCACACTGCTGGGCTCTGCAAGGTGTCCACCCTTGTCTCCTCTCAGTGTTCCCTGCAGGACTCTGGGGCAGCCCGGGGGCTCCCTCCCGCCCCCGTCCAGATGGCCTGGCACCAGCTGGCTGCATGGACAAAGCCAGGCCAGGGAGGACAATGAGGGCCTCAGGAGACAGCAGCAGCTTGGACACAGACACTATCCAGGGTCAGCAGATGCCCCAGGCTCTCTTCCTGCACAGAGGGCCCAGTTACAAAGGAACTGCATGTTCCCACATCCCGTACAGTTTCTGAGTCCCCAAGGCCTGATAATGTGTGAGGGACAGTTGGTGATGTGTGTCCAGCCACTGCCTCCTGTGGCCTCTGCACCATGCTCAGTAAGTCCTGCTGCAGGGCCTGATGTTCTAACCTGTGCAATTGATTCCAATTTTGTAACTCTGTATGCTTCCGCTGTAACTTTATTAACTGTTATAACCTGACATAGGTGCCGCCATCTTGTTCTGTATGCGCCATCCTAAATGCTGTAACTTTCCACTGTGCCCCGTTCTCTACTTGAGAACCTGCAGTTGGGCCTGTCTCACACTGTCCTTTGTGCACACCTGAGTCTAGTTCCGGCCCAATGCTCTGTCCTTGCCCTCGTTCCCAGCTACAAACTGTACCCACCACTGCACCTGTTATTGTTCATTAGAAACAGGTAGTTTTTCAACTGTAGCCCCTACATGAACCCTTGACGTCAGCTTTTGTGGTTTATTGGCTTAAATACCCACTCTCCTCATCCTCCCGTTGTGCACCTCAGCATCTTGCGGGGGTGTCTGCCGCTGGGTACCAACTAAAATAAAGCGCTTCTTTTCTTTTCGAGCCTGCCTCATTTTTGAGTTACAACACCTGAGCTACCCGGATGGGTGCTGTGAGTCTCCCCGCAGGAGGAGCTCTCCAGCTCAGCAGCTCCCCACCCCACACCGGGAAACTGAGGCACACCCAGTGCAACTCCCTCCTATGGCAAAGCCAGGACCTGAGCCCAGGCATTTGTGCCTCAGCCTTCCTTCTGGGTAGGGTCAGGGGCAAAGCGCTCTCCCTGCAGCTCCCAGCACAGTAGGCCTACAGAGAGGGTGCTGGCTTAATGCCTTCCTCCTTGTGGCACCTCCCAGCCCTGCATGGGCCCTATGCCCTGGGCTCCTGCCTCTCCCTACAGAGGGCTGAGAAGCAGCCTCTGCTGCCACATGTCTTCTGCCTCTGTCCTCTCTGAGGTCCTGTGAATCCAGCCCGAGATGGGAATCCACGTTCTCCTGCTGCCTTGGGCAAGCATGGAACCTTTTAAGTTCCTGCCCCTCAGAGCTTATTTCCCAGAATCCCAGAGGACAGTGTGGGGTCCTCCCCCTCTGCTCGCGAGCCCGACTTTCCCACCCACGGAGCCTGAGTCCCTGATCTATCCTTGGAACCCTCTGTCCAGCTCAGCAGCTCCTGATAACCCGGCCTCTTGTTCTCCCCGCTGCCCTCCTCTTTACTGTCTGTGTCCAAGGCCTGGGCTCTTTTGTGTGTGTCCCTTCCCTATGCTGATGCTGGGAGCTGGCAAAACCCACAGCGCTTTCCATGACTTCCTCCAAGACCTGAGCGCTCGGCGCACATCCAGGGGGCAGTCTTGATGGCTATGTGTGTTTCACTGTACCCCCACAATCATGTATTGACCTTGAGTTTTGGCCATCTTACTTATCTGCCATCTTACTTTCTTGTCCCTGAAACATCATACCTGATACCCACATATTAAAGAAAAAAAAGTTCTATTTGGCTCTTAGTTTGTAGAGGTTTCAGTCCGTAGTTGCCTGGCTTCAAGGAAGAGGAGAAACAACTCATGGCATGGTGACAGGAAGCAGAGCACGAGGTCAAGAGAGGGGACGGAGGGGCTGGGGAGGTAGCTCTGCCACATAAGCGCCTGCAGGCAAGCGCACAGTCCTGAGTTCGATCTCCAGTACTGCATGCTGTGCCAGGTGCCAACCCTGGAACCCCAGGCAAGGTGGCACACACCTCCAGTCCAAGCACTGGGGAGGCTGAGACAGGAGGATCACTGTGAGTCTGAACTGCATTGTGAGACCCTGTATTGAAACAATAAAAAAAAATAAGAGAAGGAGACAGATTCTTCCAGACCACAGCCCGGTGACCTACCTCAGGCTGCACCTCCAGCACCACACTGAACTCTAAACCCAGCTTAGAGCTGAGTAGCTCTAAGAGAGCAAGGACCAAACCAACTGAGAGCCACTCACTGCCCAAGTCCCCCCTATCAGCATGACTCTTGCTGGGGACATCCAGATATGTAAGCTATAAAATTTTGGAATCCTAACAGTTTCAGTGTTGGTGAAAAGCCCAAATCTAAAGTCTCCTGAGATTTCAGGCAGACTCCTAGCTGTGAGCACCTGTGCAAATGAAAAGAAAGTAAAATACTCGCAGTGTAGGAAGGCACAGTCCTATTCCAAAGGAGAGCAAGGAAAGGCTAGAAAATGAGCCAGGTGAAGACCAAAGCTCACCCGGGTTAAGCATTAAATGCTGTCCTTCCATGTTCAGGATGCTGGGCAAACGGTGGTGGTGTGGATGCAGAGGGCTTAGGTGGCTCTGCCCCACGGCACTGCCAGTGGTCACGCTTCTCGTGGCTTCCCTTGTGGCGTGGCTTTATTCTGCCTGAGGCTTTGCTGGGGGACCATGTTCCTGGCTTGCAGGCTTCCACTGCGCTTTCAGTTTCCTACTCACCACTTCATGAACTGCTCTCTCGGGAGCACAGTGCTGGCCTCCTAAGACTCCTGCTGAGATCTGATGAAAGCCTGCCTGACTCCACAATCTTTGCATTTTGCATTCGTGAATAGTGGAACTTCACTTCATGGGTTTAATTATTTCCATAATTGTGGTTGCAAACCAAATTGGATGATAATCGAATCAAATTCAATGGTTAGGTTTAATGCTAGCCTTATAGGCAAATTTGATTCAGCTCCTGTCTAATTCAGTTTGTGACCACCACGGTGGCAAGAATGAAGTTCACAAACTAAGGTCCTACTGTAAAAGCTGCAGGGCATGGATGTCACTAAAGTCTGTTTAGCTGAGCCCTCCTCCAACTGCTGATGGTTTGTGGGGGGCTTCAAGCACTTGGACGGCTGAACTTGGTGACCTGAATTTCGGGGAATCATTGCCCATTGCACAGGTGCTTGCTTTTCTCAGAGCAAAGTCTGGCCTTTCCACCTTCAGACCTGGAAAAGGTGGGGCTTCCAGATTCCTCCCTGCTCCCAGGGAGTCCTTTGTGCTGTCCAGGTCCCAAGAATACTTTAAATCTTCCATCCCGGCCGTGTTCTGCCCTTGATTTGCAGGGGAAAGCCTGCTGAAGGTCGGCCTGCCTTGGAATTCCCTCCACACTAGCAGCCCACAGCCACCTGCTCCTCCCATAAGCCAGTTTCAAAGGCTTT